AACAAACGCACGTGTGTGCGTATGTATTCACACAGCTGTTTTATGGGAACTTAGCAAACAATATTTAAGGTATAAGGCTTAGCGGAAAGGTCCATTAAATTGTAACTCATTTAATTAATCGATGTTCATTGTTATTGTGTAATATACAAAATGTTCTCATACCCTGTCTTCGCAAAGTTTGTCCAATAACGCATGACCTTTAATGACATGATCACTTCTTCTTTTGTTTGGGTGAAAGGTGTCTTAAATTCAGTATTAAAATGCCAACCAAACACAAAAGGTACGTCATCTACATGAGACACTCCGTGCCATTCTGGGTAACATAACTCGGGAGAGAGGGCAGCTCGTGACGGAATCTGCGTATTGACATATCGATATACATATTTTCCCGCGTCTGCCAACGCCCTAGCTGTGACGTCTGTTGGACATTGAAACAACTCATCGGTGGATAGTTTAGCCCACTCTTGTATGTAGTTATACTCTGGATCATCAGCATTCTCCCAATCAGTGTACTCCTGTTTTAGTGAATCTATGTATAGTTTGTTGTCATTTGGGAATATTTTTTGAAGAAGATGTCCAAAATAAGTCTCATTGATATGTGGTGGTTCGTCGGCTAGAAGATCATCTGAGTCAAATATTTCATTCAGCCAGAAGGTGCCTTCATCCCGATTCACTCCGAGAATAAGGTCAACTTTTTTGAACTCTCCACTTTTGATGAGCTCTTCTGGATAATCGGGAATAAACTTTTTGTCAACAACTGGATAAAATACAACAGTTCTTCTCGGACCACTAAGGTGTTTCTCAACCTGTAGAACAAAATGTAAGCTTAATTGTGTTTTTCATGACATAACGTAGGCCTATATAATTGCTGTATAGAAATAGTTGTTGTATAATGGTAAGGAGCCCAGAGCTTACAGGTCTGAGCGCCCATCATTGTTATCCCTTGTTGTATGGGGTTAGCCACTCATCCCTCACAAGTCGATTATTTTTAAATTACACATACAATAGTACGGTGATACTTTTTGTGTTATTTTTTTTCTAAATTCATTATTAGTATTTTTTCTTTGCTATCCTGTATCCAGTATTAAACTTTGATTAGGAATATCTAATATCATCATGCTCTAAGATATATTTATAGGCACTATGATAGTAAAGTGCAACAAATCATAGAAAAAAAATGTATGGAAGAAAATAAATTTAAATAATAGAATTTAATATTTAAGTTTTATTTATAAATAAGTTATTAAGCTTTAAATTTAATAGAGAAAATATCTTCATCGTAACTAATTTTAAACCTACGGATAAATATTAAAATATATCAGTAGGAAAATCACCATCCGATTTAGTGTTACTTTAGAGTGCGCCCTCTAAAAAAGAAAACTTACCAAAGATCTTATTTAACTTAATACGATCTTTGATATTTACACGTTTTGTATGATGCTGTAAAATGGTGTACACGTACCTCAAGCGTAGCTTTGAGAATGTCATGCATACTTGCATTGCGCATGCACTCTACCATGTTCGTTGATGATTCGGTCTCACAACCTACCATGGATGCTACGTATTTGTTAGCTTTTACAGCACGTGTTATGTTGAGCTCTATCATTGCTGAACTGTCAAACATAGACCCACTCTAATAGATCGGGATAGAAAATACGCATATTTAAGTAAACTGTATATATATTATATGTATATCATATATAATGCTATAATATATATCATATAATTTACAACATACGATCATGGTATAATTATAATTTTACCTGAAGAATCGCCCTCTGGAATAAATCACACTTTGTAGACGCCAACAAATGTGCGCTGACGCTGCCTGCTCCTGCACTTACGCCAAATATTGTCACTTTCTCTGGATCTCCGCCAAAGGCTAAAATAGAAAATACCCCTTTGATAATAATTTTTTTAACAATAATGGATAAAAAATCTACTTTATGATATTTTATAATATAATATATAATAATACCGATTATAACACAAATCAAATAAAATTGCAGTTAAATTTCGACTGATATAGAATGACATAAAATGAAAACAACATGGTTACAACTACAATATAATAACAAACAAAATTTAATATCTAATAGAAAAATTGACTAATACCAAAAGATATAATATTAACAGAAATATAACTGTTATAAACTTAGAATAGTAGAATAATATAAAAATACATTAGGAAATTGACTTTGTTGAACATCAGGTGGATGTGGAATTATTAATATAATATTAACATTTACCTTCAATGTTTTCACGAACCCATTGCAGTGCCATACTTTGATCCATCAGACCATAGTTACCCGGGGAAACATCGTCGCCTGAATTGAAAAACAAAATATCACAATCAGTAAGTTACAATGAACAAAATTGCATGGTAATGCACGACTTACGGAACGATCTTCCTTTTAAATTATTTTTCATTCAACCGCGAACAATCGGCAGTCTGTTAATCCTTTTTTTTATTTGGTTGCTGCACCAAAAAGCCAATTTCTAAGTAGCCTATGACAAAAGGACGAGCAAGGCCACTGATATCCTACTGGTTTGAAAAAACAAAGCAGTGATGTAGGTGTTTTAAACCGGCTTAGAGATTTTGCTTTATTCGAGGCTTAGGGAGCGGAGTTACATTTTTTGTAAATAGAAAAGGCTCTAATTGAACTTTTAGGAATTCAGTTATTATCCATGATAGTCGTATCTTATAAAGCCCTCATTCCACAAAATCGCTACACTGTCGCTATCTATAGTGTTTTTACTGCAATGATTTAGTACTTGCTGTTCCCGACGCAATCGGATTAAGCTCCACGATTCGGCCGACCAATATGTATCGACGATACCTCGGCGATAGTGTTTAGCAATTTTATGGAAACCAAAAACCTCTCACGGTGGTGAGCAAGTATATATAATCTATCGATATTACAAGTCAGTTGCTGCAATGCTTACCTGTCGTTTGAAATCCAAAAACGCCCAACCGGTAGTTGAGTGTCACGAGAATGACGTCACCCCCAGAGGCTGCTAATAATGGTACACCCCAGTAAAAATCTTGAGACCCAGATCCGAAGCTATATTGCCCACCATGGATCCAAACCATAACGGGGGCATCAGTCAACTGTAATAAAAAACATTATTTTGTTTTCATGTAACCTGGGCATAATGGTTTATTGAAAAGTAACAATAATAACCTTTTCAATATAATAAGTTAGTTATTAACCTTTCACGGCACGTCCTTGTGGCCACAACATTTGTGAATCAAATAGATAAAATAATAATTTAAAACCCTGTAGCCTAAATATGGAAAAACAATTTGTAGAATCAATGTAAGCCTACACTGCAGCATTTCGAGGGTATACAGTCTGTCGTAGATTTTAGAAAACTTTATTATTATTAAAACATTAGATAGTTATCGTTTTGATTTTCATATGACACTAATTGTCGCCTACTTAAAACCTAAGAAATTCCATTTATTTTTAATTTTTACCATATAGGCCTAATAGGTTTTAAAAACGTGATATTAATGCTCTCTCGATTGAAAGGAAAAGGCAACGATATTGATTCTACTTTAACACCTTCCCGTCTGCGCCACTAACTGTCTGATATTAACAAACTACGCAATTCAAATATTTTCTTAATTTTTAATTTTCAGCATATAATAGGCGGAACGGTATGTCTTTATAACGCATTAATTAATGTTTTCTCGATTGAAAGGAAATGGCAACATTACTGATTCTACTTTAACACTTTCCCGTCCGCGTCACTACCACAGCGTTAGGCTGCAGCCCTTTAAATGGGTTCACTACAGTATCAATTTACTGGGTTTAGCCGTTCTATTTTTATTTCCTTCTATAGGCCTACAAGTCATATACTCCGCCTATTGAGGGCGGAGAAGCACAGTGGGATTATATTATTCAGCGACAGCCCACGCTATTGATGGTCAATTATGGCGTCACATCATAGAGAAAATAGAACAGTTCTATTTTCTCTATGGTCACATACAACACCATTAAAATCATTTTAAATTTTTATTAGCCTTTTAACCTAATGAGGATCTAATGTAACCAGAAAATGTAACATAGAATTTGGTGTGTGTGTGTGTGTGTGTGTGTTATTATTTTTATAGAACTTACATTTTTAACCGGAACGAGGACATTGAGGTGCAAACAATCTTCAGAACTCGACGGACTTTGAATTTGTGGACAGTCACTCCGGAAGTATGTGGCATTATAAACATCAGGCCATGGAGCTACTGTTTCAGGAGGCCGAAAACGAAGATTGCCAATTGGTGGCTCAGCGTACGGAATCCCTTTAAAGTAGTTAAAATAACCACTGTAATTTAGGTATTGATCTTCACTAAAGTATAGCTTCTCTCCCATGACGTCGCCATATGTAGTAGAAACTATAGGTCCTCCTCCAGGAACCTCTGCTACTGTTCCAGTAATGAGACCTAAGCCTACAAGAAGACACAATAACAGAGACATTGTTCACGCTTCCAATTTGTTTCTAGAATGTGCTTGTTTCTCTGAGTTTGAACTTTTAATAACCACCTTGTTTGGAATTGAAGCTTTCTTTTCACGTGTTTTGTTTAGCGAACCAATACAATTTCAACAGATAAGGATTAAACAAATAAAAGAACTAAAATGGAAAGTCCTGTCTATTGATCGCAATCAGTAACCATATCGTTCCTGCTTTTCATACTCTTGCTTCCGGTGTAAAGCCGTTGGGCCTGGTACTACGTATCTCTTCTAATATAGATTTAAAGTTATGTTGTTATATATTATCCATATTCTACCTATACACTCTTAAATTTACACGAATTTATCAATATGTTTAATTACCAATAAAAAAAAAGAATACACTTATTTATATAAGAACCAGTAAAATTTTGCCTGGTGTTCTATTTTTTTTTTTTTTTTAAGATTTCAAGCTCATAACGTTCATATTTTATTCTTAGTTTAATCATTTTTAAAGATTGAAAATTATTATTTTACAGCAGTTTATTACTGTACTGTATTATAGAGGGTATTACATAGTCACACGTACTAGATTTGTTGGTTTTTCTATTCAAAAAATAAAAACCTCATTTATTTTTTTTTATTTGAAACTCAATTTGTTCTTATTTTAAAGCAATTTTAGCCTCAGTGTTATTATAAGAATGTGTTCCTATAAAAAAGTGTATTGTATAAATTGTTACGTATACGTACTACATGTTTATTATCACGATTGAGAATCAGGAGAGTGTTATGAAAGAAAATTACGTCATAACCTTGAGTTTAAGCGCTAGCGTATAACCCTGCTAAAGCGACGAATAATAAATCGTGCACAAAATAGATACAGATCAGGATATCATTCCTGATGATGACATAATTAATGTCGAAATATTGAATCCCAACACGATGGCGTGTATTTCAATACTTGGAGTATGAATTATACTTTCTTAAATAGATACAGAGTGTACTATAACTTATAATACCGAATAGAAGCCCAATGGGCCTAATCTCGAGAAGAAGCCTATTTCGAATTGAAGCCTATCTGTTCAGTTTTTAAAATTAGCCTTGAAAAGGAGACCACGGGCTTCTTTTCAAGATAGCATAGGCTTCTTTTAGAGATAGTACAGTACGCACACTGTACATGAATTGCAAAGAAACAAAATAAATTAAAATCGTGCTTGGTTTATACAGTAGTTTAGGTGATTTAATGCCGGTTAATACACACCATGATACAGATTGATGTTACAGTGGCCTTATTTATTGTTTTATAGTGCTAATTCTCAAAAATTACAGTATTCATTTTGAAAAAAAGTCCCTTCTTTACTTTGCGAAAGTGGCCTCAGAAAGAAGCCCCATTTAAAAAAAGCCCATCCAAAGTTCGCAAAAAAAAAGTCTTCCAGAGCTTCAATTCGAGGCTTCACGATGATACAGACTTATATGAGGTTGAACTTTGTATCGTATCGCCCCTTTTTACTTAAGCCTCTTTTCACACATCATACCACCCAGATTAAAAGGCGTTGTCTCAATTGGCACCATTGTATAGCCAGCTCCTGCAGACACTAAATTTAAATCCATTAAATGGATTTTATGTGGTGTATTCATATTTTTGCTCAGATATGCTCTGGGATTTGATAAGTGAACAATAGGTAGGAAGGAGTTGTCATTAACGTATTTGTACCGATAAAGGAGGCTTACAAGACCCAAGCAGCCACTTGCTCATGTGCAGAACACTTTTATTTATAAGAACCAGTAAAATTTTGCCCAAACCCATTTTTTTTTTGTTTTGCCGATTTCAGCCTAAAAATATTCTTACTTTATTTTGTTTTTACACACTTTTCAAACATAAGAAAGAATTATTTTACTGCATTAATTTATTGTACTGTATTATAGAGGATTACATAGTCGCATCTACTGAAAATAAGGTAAAGATGCAATTTTTGGTTTCTCTATTAAAAAGAAAAATAAAAACCTCATGACGTTTTACCTCGCTCTCAATTTGTTCTTATTTTGTTCTTAATTTTTGAGCAATTTCAACCTCGGTGTACTTAAAAATGTGTCCTTATAAAAAAAAATGGACAGTCTGGCGGAATGGTTGAATCTTCACATAGGCCTATCTTATACGTCACTTCTTAATAATACAAGTAGTTGGGCGTTATCAAAATGCTACTACTGTCAAAAATAGACAGTTTACACCGTTAACACCTTCGTTGCATTGTAACTTATTTATTGGCCAAAACAATAAGAACTGTTAAAGATGGATTAAAGTCCCCTAAAAATGACAAAAAAAAAAAAAAGAAACAAGAAAAAAAGAAAACCATAAAAAGGAATTTTGAAACCTTGCTCATTTTGCGGTACCATACAAACAACTATCTTGACTAAACTAATTTGAGCAAAGAAATGATTGAATTAAAAAACTGTGAACCTGATTTTAATATGTTACCGTACTGGTTAATGATAAAAATAATAAAAACACTTCCAGTTACTAGAAGTGCTTCAATTTTTGCAGTAAAATTATGGGAATCATTTTTAAAATACACCGATATCTATATGTCAAGTTGATAATTATTATGGAAAGGCCCCAATGGAAATAAGTTTTATATATTGTGAAACTTTCTTGGGTTACCCTAGGAATTAGTGTCTTATCTTGTTCTTTATCATTTATCTGTTCTTTGTATTTGTTTTATTTTCAAGTAATCTATGATTTTAATTCCTGAATAAAATGAAATGAAATGAAATGTTGCTTTAAAATGAGCAAGTTAATTTCAAAAATGATTTTTATGATTTTTTTGGCATTTTTTCGCTTTAACCTTTAAAATTTACTAGCACAGAGCAATTAACTAAAAGGATTAATGAAGCAAGATAGAATGATTATATTATGACATATTTTAAGCCAAATAAAATTAATTATATAGTTTCACGTCCGGAATTTGAATGATTTTTTGGTGAGGGTATATGCTATTTGCTATTTACTATATACTAATTAAACAAGCTGGTAAATATTTAAAAAATGTTATTTATTTTTTTTAAATAGTAAAAGAAGTTTTTGTAATGTATACTTGGATTTGTTTGACAAACAATCTTTCAGATCGTGATTATTTTAATTTTCTACGGAAAAATTATTTTTTTTTTGTAAAATAGCAAATAGTAAAGTTTTCATGCGGCTGTATGAGGGAGTGGACATGGAACTAGCAATTAATTTTATTTGGCAGCTATGGCATTTGTAGTTAAAGGTTGTAACTATCAGTTAATTGTTGTTTGCGTTTTTTATATTGTTGTATTCAGCCATGACATTTCCCCGTAGTCGGATGAATAAGTATCCTTGTATCTTGTAAGAGTTTCGATAGACGAAATTGGTCGACATTATAATCAATCTTTTAAATGTCATCAAAACAGATTTAGGTTTAAGGAGTGTTGTACTTGAAAGTTATGGTGACTTAGTCGACTTACGCGAGCTTTTTAGGGAGAGAAACAGATGGCTTAATTTATTTTAATTTTGTTTAAGCTTGTATACAAGACTTGTAAACACACACTGTAATACGTTGACTTGTGATGTTCGATGAACCCCTTTTTGTAGTTTCAATTGCGGATGATTGGGTCAAAGGTCGACATTTATATTTACGCTATCGTTTGAATTTTTATAAATCGGTTTTTGGTTTATTTTCATATGGAATATGCAAAATATAAAATTAGGTTTATTTTCTTCTATTTATTTGTGTTCATATTTATGTATGTGTCCTTTTGTACCAGTTTTTGTATTGAGCTTTAATGAATGTCTTATGTAAGTATCATGCAATTTAGATTACTGTATGCTGTCATTTGATATATAATAATGAATTGGAATTGCATTGAATTGAATAGTGTATTTTTGTATTTGTGTTCAACTACTATATTATTATATTGTTGATATAATAATCGTTATACATTATTAAGTCATGGTAAAATCTTCTTGTTTGATTTTCCATTTTTAGCAAGATATACGTTTGGATGCAACTCAACTGAAGCATCACTTGGAGCAATGGTCATTTATTTTTTATGTAGTAAGATTTTTTTTTCACATGATGATAGACTTAGGAATAGGTACTTAAAAGACTTTATAGGCTCTACATGAAAATTTAAATATTTTCTAATCTTGGTAGCAGCATAGTGTAGTTGGTTAAAACCACTGGTAACTAGGTCTGCTGTGTGTGTGTGCTTACCTTCATTTGGTTTTAAATCTTTTGTTAAAATAGGAGATAGTACCATGGATTCCTATCATTCTAAAATTCATAATTTAATGTACAATACTGGTGAATCTAGATGTGTATAAGAGACAGTAACTATCCTGACAACTTTTATATTGCTTCTCGATGACGGATTTGATCTAAGCCAAACTTTTCGACGAAGAAAGTACAGCAACAACGAAGACAACGACCAGCGCGGAAAGAAAGCTTGAGCAACAACGCGAAGAATCATGCATTCTTTTTGTCCAGTGCACTCTGACCCGACATTGTTTACAAATCTGAAGGGTCAACTTGTGACCTGGGCCTTGTTACGAGTGATTAATTATGCCTTGAGGCAAGGTGTAATTGAAATATCCAGTAAAAAGGTGGGTTTTTGGACCAGATGTTTTTCAAATTTTCTATACCCAGGGGCATTATTTAATTGCCGCACGCGACCGCTCAGCTGGTGGTACCCAGTTAAATTTTACTCGTCCGAATCGGCCCTTAGTCGACTTACGCGAGCTTTTTAGGGAGAGAAACAGATGGCTTAATTTATTTTAATTTTGTTTAAGCTTGTATACAAGACTTAAACACACACTGTAATAAGTTGACTTGTGATGTTCGAATAATGAAAATATAATAAATGTAAGACAAACAAAATGTTGGAACTAAATTGAATGTAGTAGGCCTACACAAGATTTGAGTAAGCCCATACTTTTTGATTAGTGACTGGTTAATACAGAAGACACGAATGCAAAGCAATGAACCCCTTTTTGTAGTTTCAATTGCGCATGATTGGGTCAAAGGTCGAAATTTATATTTACGCTATCGTTTGCATTTTTATAAATCGCTTTTAGTTTATTTTCATATGGTATACAATCAATAAAAACAAAATTCAATATGTATGGAAAAATAATTAGAAAAGATGATTTTCTAATTAATTAATTATTTCTAAGACCGAATTTACTCAAATAAACGCCGCGGGTCGTTTATAGTTCAGAATCAAAGGGATTTTGAGAATGTGTTTATTCAAAGAAGGAATTTTTTCGGTCATCGAGGCATGAATTTTTTAGGTGTGAAATGGATAGGAACGTTTACTCAAATGAACACCCCGTCATTCACTGGAATTGAGCACAACAAAATATTGTCAAAAGGTATTTGTAAAAGATGGCTTATGTTATGCAATATTAATAATATAATATTCTGGAGTAAAACCTTTGGTGATAGAAAATTGGTGTTGAGGACAATGTTTCTTCAATCATAGAGCAGTTTATTTGAAACGGGGCATTTATCGGGATAATAGGCCTATACCAAAAGACGAAATTTCATTACTCACCAAGGTGCAATAAATAGGCCTTTCGTATATTTATAAAAGTCGACATTATGCCTGTGTTGGACCAACATAACCTTATAACTAAAGCGCCATATTGGTCATCAACAGAATATCAAGAAAGCAGTTTATATCAGTAGATCACCTATAGCTCAAAAACTAATCCTAGCATTGGTAAAATAGTCAAAAAGCAAATTATAACGGAGTTATTTGCTATAGCAGATCTACTAATTTATTGATATTGGTCGCAGGGACGGCTGCAAATAAATTGCACTGTCCCTGATCGATTCAAAAGTCAATGGTCGTTGTTCAAAATAGAAATTGTGTATAGTAACAACCATATCATACATGGGACAACTTGTCTTTACGGAACCGCAATATATATTTCTAAACAGACCTATCAAATCGTTATAGGCCTAATCATATTATAGAAGCACAATTCGATGAAAACAATTACAAAGTAAGACAAAGTACTGTATCGTATTTCGTTTAATGTTTCTATATACTATACGAACATATAACATCATTTAAAAATGGTAATATACCGTAACAGACCTATCAAATTGTTCCAATTTTATAAAAATAGAAACCTAATTAAATTACTGTACCAAGTAATAAAAATCAATACGAGTCGAGCGGGAGCACCGCTAACTACAGCCTTAAAATCGGCACTGGTTCGAGCAGCCCCTCAAATTCGGTTGGTAGAACCAATCTTCGCGGATACGACTTAAAAGGGAGGTCCCATGTACACATCTGGCTCTCTGCACTTTAGAGAAAACATACATCTTTCGGGAGAGTAGGGCTACCCCGATGCATGGTTCATTTCAGCCCCTGCCTGCCGTTGTGGAATGATGTGAACATATAAAGCCATTACCTCTAGGCAGTCACTGACCACGCCCATACGCTTAATGATGCTGCGAGTTATGGGTTATTCTCCTACCTACCCACTCTCTTTAAACATATACCGTTTCATTATTCTAATTATACAAATATACAGCTTGCACTTTGTCACAAACCACTATTAAATATGAAACACCAAAAATATTTAAATTACGTACATCTTCACCAACCAATTAATCAGAAGCATTCTGTATATCAGAATATAAAATTTCCTTTGACCTGGTCAATAATCCGATAAGTCAACTGAAATAATATAGTAAGCACGCCCCCTCATATTTTGGTCTCGCCCTCCCCACCAGCCCCACCCCCCATTTTAATAATGCTAGATACGCCACTGCTTATATCCCCTATAAACCTTAACTATTTAAATTTTAACATATTTTCTATCAAACCTTATTTAAAGAACCACAATTCTAGGTTGCGCGGCTTGCGAATACTTCACCACTGTAGATCTACCTTCTTTTACCGCACTTTCCCAATCACGGACCAAACATGCTGCCAAATTCGTATACGGGTTTCTGTAGCTCATTTGTCGAGAGCATAACACTTAAGTGCATGGTTCGGCCACCTTTTTGTATTCATCAAAGGCAGTCTGCCATTCGTTCAATGCCACATTCTTCCAGTCGTAATAACTGTTTCGCCAGTCTTCTTCTAAATCTTCAAGATCATCTGAAAGAATATAACACATATTGTCAGCAAAGGGCTTGAACGAGGGGTGTGAAGACGCTTTCTTAAAACTATTGAAAAGAATATTTTTCATGATTATTATTATTATATTATTATTATTATTATTATTATTATTATTATTATTATTATTATTATTATTATTATTATTATGATTATTATTGATTATTTGTTATCAAATGTTTTTTTTTTCCTTTTGATGTAATTCCATTATGGCATGTGATATTTTTTTTATTGGTTTTTGCTGAAAAAAATATAGGCAGAAACGATCAAGAAACTATGGTTTTTGCATAGATTTTGCAGATGTAAACTTTTTTCCACCGAAGACCACTCTATTAAGATTTGCTAGTGTTATCCATTAAGTTTTTAATAGTCATGTTTGTCATTAGATACTCAAGCGTTGATGAAGAAAGCAGCAAATACTTAAAAGTTTCTCGATTAAATTTAGGTGATAGGATGATAATTAACGTATAGGCCTACTTAAAATACAAGTCCCTCCAATTAAAGACCCCTAATTAGAGACCACTTCTACTTAAAGACCACCTCTAATTTAAGACCAATTTTCTGTGGTCCCAAAATTAACAAATGTCTTTCATCTTTATTATTCTAATTAGAAACTAAAGCTGCTAAAAACCATGGAAACCCGGTTCCCAGTAGTGGTCTTTAGCCCTAGATATATTAAAAATATAATAATGTATGTATATTTATGGGGAAGAAGTTTAATTATAGACGGTGTGTACTACATATTAAAATGTATTTTGAACTCCTTACTTGTAAAGAGTGCCACCTTTGGAAGGTAGCTGGCCCAGAAGGAGCATGCTCGTGCATCAGCTGCGCGACTGTTGTTCATCTCTGGTGACAACTCTTTGTATTCTAACCCAGGAACCGTGAAGAGTGGCCAGGGCTCGGCTACGTTGGTCTCATTTACCTCTGCCATGTTCGGGTTCCTACAAGATAAATATTTAGGAGCAGTTACAAGATTACCTCATGCAATGGGTAGAGGATTTGGGTTATCAGAGTATGAACTATAAAGCCCTTTGTACAGGACTGAGCTAATTTAAAGAGGTTTCATTAAATTTAATAAATTTATAAACTTTTTATAGCTCTTAATCTTCACTTTTTATTGTATTGAATGTATTGAAGTTCCTAATTGATCAGCTTCGGGTGGATGGACCACACTCAAGATAATAAATAAAATAGGAAAAGGTCTCTTGAAGTATTAGGCTATATCATAATACGGTAGTATCATTCAGTCTCAGCTTTCTCTAGAGGGCAGTGTTTATAGCCGTAGTTCAGAGTCATATATAATTCTGCTAATCGCCACCGCGTAACTTCCCCTATCTCCCCTGAAACCGCTGGCAGGAATGTGCTCATTATCTCATACACTGGGGCTTCTATATGTCACGACCACATTTCGATACTTTTTAAGGCTTGATATTGGATAACAAAAAAAACAAAAAAAAACAGCCAAAAACCACCGAAAATCAGTACATGTTTCGCCATACTATTTCGCAAGTTGTTACGTCACGTAAATACAATTAATCACATCTATTCTGTACTGCAATGTTTAAGTCTAAAAAATATCGAGTCAGGCCGTAAAAGAACCAGTCTATGTTTCGCAGCTTCATTACGTCACCGCCCAGTACTTCTCACTCACGTTTCGTCAACAAAATGGATGACAAGGCATGTTCCCGTACCTCTTAGGTACCCACTGCATTATACTGGATATATTGTAGTTTTATGGTACAAAAAATCAGCAATAAATGGCATGGTTTAGAAGTCGATCAGGTAAAAATAAAGATACACCTGGGCAGAAGCCATATAGGCCTATGATATAACCTCGAGGCACAGGCCTAAGGCGCGGCCTACCCTAGCCTATATGTCGATCACAAATTGGCCTAGAACTAGAGGCCTAGGCTCAGGTGTAGTTAGCATATCTAGGGCCTAGCCTTTATCTCTCGAATCCGGGTCGATTTTGATAGTGCATTACGATTGATAGGGTACTCAATCAGCCAGCTCCACCAATCAGTATCTTGAATTTACGTAAACACGTCGGGACAATGTTTACGGGTCCTTTTTTGAATGTCAGTAGTTTGGATAAGCCTTACAGGATCCACCTTGATTCAAGACAAACACTTCTCTCATACCCAACTAGGCTAGGCCTAGTTACCGTATATTTCTGTACTTTCACTTACAAGAGGGTAGCCCAAAGCAACTGGGGAAGATCCAGTAGGGGAGAGGGACGTCACTGAGAAGGGCTCCTGCCCCGTTTTGCCACTAATTTTTTTAACATTTCGATGCAGTATAAGTGCTATTCGCCTATTCAATTATTCTGAAACTGTTGTGCGCCCCCCCCCCCCCCCCCCCACTGGATCCACCCTTGATCACACTGCATAATAATTCCTCACAAGGACTACAATGCGCTGCAAAGATACTCAAAACATTAACTACAAAGACGTCCTTCAGAAAAATAATGACATATCAACTTCCCCATTCAACAATGTACATGATCGCCACCTTTCCCGCCTCATTCAACACCATGCAGAGCACGGGTATATGCTAGTATTTTTAAATAGTTTATATCAGTCGTTACGGAGTAAATACAAGAAAATTGCTCACCCAGTTTTAGCAAAATTTGTCCAGTAACGCATGACCTCTAATGACATTAGCACTTCTTCTTTTGTTTGGGTGAAAGGTGGATCAAGCAGTGTATTAAACTCCCAACCAAATACAAACGGTCCCTCCTGCAGATGAGATACCCCGTACCATTCTGGTTCAGCTCTGCCACCAACTCCACGTGAAGGAACATGCGCGTTAACATAACGAAATACATTTTTGCCTGCAGCTGCATACGCTCTAGCAGTCACGTCCGTTGGACATTGGAAGAATTCGTCGGTGGATATTTTAGCCCATTGTTGTAAATAGTTATAATCCTGGTAGCCGGAATACTTCCAATCAGTGTATTCCTGCTCTAAGGAATCTATATATAGTTTGTTGTAATTTGGGAATGATTCCTCAAGTAGATCCTCAAAGAATGTACGATTCATAAATGGTGCTTCTTCGGCGTTAATTTCTTCCCTGCTGTAAATATTACGAAGCCATGAAATCCCTTCGTTTTCGTTCACTCCAAGAAGGATGTCAACTTTGTTGAACTCTCCTCTCTCGACCAGATATTCAGGAACATCAGGAATGAACTTTCGGTCAACAACTGGGTAAAATACGGTATATCTCTGTGGAACTTCGAAGAGTTCATCAACCTTACAAAAGAACATTAGTTTGCCGTTAAAGAATGTATTTAATACAATCAGTGTAGTAAAATATCCCATAAAGAAAGAATTATTGTCGATATTCATTATGAAGAATTATTAAAGTAAATATTAGATTGTCAAAAAGAACCAAATAATTCCGGATATTGCCGATATCGTTTTTAAAAGTTTGTTGAGGTGCGTGTAGGTCAGGTCTACATGCGCTGTTATTTTTTCGTGGTTTGACCAACTGTTCTACTAAGTGCAAACAAGATGTAGCAATCGATTCGTGATGTAATAGGCCTACAGCCCTTTATAAAAGTTTCAATGGTGAATCTTGATATATATACATACATAGATATATACATATATATATACATATACTGTATATATATATATATATACATATATATATATATATATATATATATATATATAATTTGTGCTACGTTTAAATTTAAATTAATAATTTTTGTTACTGCTTATAATGTATATGCTTAGGACAATAACGTTCATTAAAGAGATTAGATGAATAATTGATTGTGGGGTTAATAGAACATGACATAGGCCTATATAATCCCTGCAAATTTAGTAAATGTATATATCCTATGACCTATCAACCATGACACACACATACCTTTATTTGTGCATCTAGTAAGGCATCTACACTTGCATTGCGCAGGCACTCAACCATCTCCGTCGATGACTCTGTCTCACATCCTACTATGGAGGCTACTTGTTTGTTTGCATCAATGGCACGTGATACGTTGAGTTCTATCATCGCTGAACTGGCAAACATTGTTCCGCTCTTTATGAAAGATCCATTGATAAAGACAACAAAATAAGTACAGTTAAATTAATAAAATTTAAAGGTACACTTAGGTTGATTTATCTAACATTATATTTACTTACAAATTTGAGAGAAATATGAAAAAAAGACGACAAATACTGTACATTAGTCTTAATAATTCTGAAAATACGAAATTATTAATCAAAAACCAAAATGTAAACTTAAGTTTAACAGACGGAAGGAAACGGGAAACATTCATCTGTACGTGGTATACACATCAGAGAGTTTTAATTACCGAAACAACTGTCTCTTATACACATCTAGATGTGTATAAGAGACAGCAGAGAATATTTTGTCACTCTTAACGCGTCCTACAAAATTCTTACGAGACAGCACTAGTCCGTGAATTTGTGAACAAGATCGGAGGTATTTGTGTATATATATACATATACACAAATACACAGTACCTGAAGAATTGCCCTCTGGAATAAATGACTCTCTGGAGAATGTAAGAGTTGCCCACTGACACTGCCTGCTCCTGTGCTTCCACCAAAAATTGTCACTCTCTTTGGGTCTCCACCAAAAGCTAGAATTAAAGAATATAAAATAGCAAGAGGTCCGACTGCCGGGGTTTCATTGAAATGGAATCGTATTTCGTACTAAGTACTACCACAAGAACTTGTGCTGAGTTTATGCTCGAATTTTGAACTGTATTCGAATCAGTTCCATTGATCTACTGAATAGCTATAATAGTAGAAATTAGTGATCGGCTCTGGTTCGAATTATAGGAACTCTAGTGTAATGTAGTATTAAGGTTCAATGGTATTAACTTGCATAACCATTGGAATCGATACCCTTCACCTAATAAATGCCTTAAATTGGTTTGACAGTTTTAATGGTCAACTTGAGTATACAGATAATCTAATAATATAACTGGACTTTGTATAACTTTACCCTAGTCAGTTGGACTTGGCCTTTCTCACACTATGAATCTATGATTGTCAGTTTTGAGCCTAAGCTCTGAAGTTTGTGATACATCTTAGTTAGCAGTTTTTTGGTAAACAAGTTATACAATCATAGAGAAAGAATTTCTCTATGATCCAATCAGAAACTCTAAAAGTATGGGGTGACTTACTTGAGACACACCCCCATTACCTAAAGTATAATAGGCAAACACCCCCATATCACTGAATCTGTAGTCAGTAGTGAGTTGTCAGTGATCAGTAGTCAGTGATCAGTAGTCAGTAGTCAGTAATCAGTAGTCAATAGTTAGATTCAACACAGAAGAAAGTACAGAGCTGAGCTGACTCCACTCAAAAAGGGTTCTCTAACATCTGAAACCTGGAGTTTAGCTGATTACCAACGTACAGTTTGTGTGAATAAAAGTTTGCAGTGTACTGAAAGGAACTCTGTGCCTACTACTCATTAAAAGTCATCCACCAGCAACTAACCGATATTTAGCATGGTGCAAGACCCTAATCATTGATTTCATGGTACCTCCACTCCGAAGCTGAGCACATATCGCCAAACCGATATTTAACACTAGTTCGAATTGTAATACCTCGTGGCAGTTGTTTCATTGCGTAATAATTTGATCTTTATTATTAATTTTGGTCGGTACAAAAAGCGATAATAAGAATGAAAATGATTGTCTTACCCTCGATATTTTCATAAACCCAGTTTAATGCCATCTTTTGGTCCATCAGACCATAGTTACCCGAAGAAACATCATCGCCTTATTTTGAGAATGAACAAAACATAAGATCAATAAATTGTCAGATACAAAACTGCATGATGAAAATTAATAGTTATTCCTCGTTAACTTATAGAATAAGAATAAAACTATGTGATTAGTGGTGTTTAATTTTTATAGTATTATGTTTAAAAGTTTGAGAATATGGCAAAGGTTAAAGGGAAAGTTAAAAAAAAAAACGAAAGAATCTAGCATTTGGTAGGAATAACCATTGGTCATAATACCACTTTAGATTTAGCAAGTTACAACCCCAATACCAACGATTGAATAAATCTATATATTTCATGATATCATTCCGCACTAACCTGTTGTCTGAAATCCGAAAACCCCCAAGCGGAAGTTTAATGTGACGAATATGACGTTACCTCCGGCAGCTGCCAATAATGGTACACCCCAAGTATAGTCATCAGACCCAGATCCGAATCTGTATTGCCCAGCGTGGAACCAAACCATAACGGGAGCACCAGTCAACTGGAACAAATAATTATAATAGACCTACCTACTGTATTTGCCATAATGTTGCAGTAGAGATAGTTTAAGTTTACTTAACTTGCCTGGGAATTCAATAGAAGCCTACTGTATGTATTAAAATAAGAATACAGGTCAACGTCTGTATTACCTTTGTAAACTAAATAATTCAAAGTATGTAGAATGATTCTGTATTGTTTAGTTTCTTAGCCTGATATACAGTATACCACGATAATACATTTAAAGGAGTCATGAAGCGTGTAGATCCAAGATATAAATTTAATGAATGTACATAGTGTTCTGGAGAAAATGATTAAAATTGTAAATACCAAATAAATTTCCGATACAGTAGAGATTGTAGGCAGCAAACTTTTTTTCACTGTTTTTCTGCGGCGCTAGCAGTCAAGCTTTAAGTTTTATTTTTGTCCCTAAGCATAGGATATAAAGCCGGTTTTCCACTAGGAATGGAAAGTGTCGGTTCGCTTCTTGAGCTCTGATTGGTTGCGTATTTTTTTCGCTTCGCAAAAAGTAGGAACTATAACAGTTCTAACTACCGATTGAAGCGAAAACTCAGATAGAAACGTAAATGCGCGTGTGCATAAACCGACGCTTTCAATTCGCGCGAATAAATTCGCCATGGAAAAGGCTAGCTGTTTTCCACTAGGCGAATTTATTCGCGCGAATCGAAAGCGTCGGTTCGCTTTCTGAGCTCTGATTGGCTGCGCATTGTTTTCGCTTCGCAAAAACAGTATAAAACAGTTCGTTGAAGCGAAAACTCCGATAGAAATATAAATGCGCATGCGCATGAACGACGCTTTCGATTCGCGTGAATAAATACGCTTAGTGGAAAACCGGCTTCAGGTAGGCCTGTGTTCATGTGCTGATAGTCTGCAGCGGCGGCGCGTAACGTCTGCAGTGCTCGTGACCTGTATAACAGCATGCAAACATTAAAGGACAATCTTAAGCTCTGTCCACGCTATCAAATTTATGTGACAAATTTGTGTGTTGTGCCCATATATTATGTCATATATATGGGCATATCACAGTTATTTGTTACATAATATTTGATAGTACGTATGGACAAAGTTTTAGTTAATCATACGCGGGTGTGCAAAACGAGCTGAGTTTGCACGCGTCCGCTTCTCGCATTAAGCTACGTTCACATCAAGCCCGGATCCGGTCCGGAGCCCGGACAAAAATTCGTGGGTTGCTACGTTTTTTGAACGCGCTGCGTTCACATCGCGCACGGAACACGGTTGTTCGGGTTAAGTACGTATGCGTTCGATTGGTTCGAACCAACCACGCTTGTGTTGCTGACATAGAGATATAATAAGAATACTAGAGCGCTAACAGTATTGTATTCGATGTTCGAAATACGCAGAGCTGTGTGTGTGTACCATCCAAGATGGCTGCCATAGATTCAGCCAATCAAATTTCCCCTGAGCACTATCATTTTCAATTGCGCCCTCAATTTACACAGAAAGTTCAGTACAGCTAGTTACCCGTATTTTGAAACTCGAGCGTTGCGGTGTATGTGTGTAATGTACACGATTTTAATTCTTTTTAATATTTGAATAAGATGCTCTACTTGGCCTCTTTTTGGCTACGACAGTTTAATAATTTGTCATTATCAATACTAATTATCATTAATGAAAT